ACGTGCTGTCCAAGGCGGATGTGATCCAGGCCACCGGCGATGCCATCTGCATCTTCCGGGAGCTGCAGTGCCTGACGCCGCGCGGGCGCTACGACATCCGCATCTACCCCACCTTCCTGCACCTGCACGGCAAGACCTTCGACTACAAGATCCCCTACACCACCGTGCTGCGCCTCTTCCTGCTCCCGCACAAGGACCAGCGCCAGATGTTCTTTGTGGTGAGCGGGAAGGGGTCGGCCTTCCCTCGGGAAGAGGGGGTGAGGGGTGGGTCAGGGGGGAGTCACGTCCTCGCCTCCCCCTCTCTTTCCAGATCAGCCTGGACCCCCCGATAAAGCAAGGCCAGACCCGGTACCACTTCCTGATCCTGCTGTTCTCCAAGGATGAGGACATCTCCCTGACCCTCAACATGAATGAGTGAGCTGCCCCGCTGCCAGGCCTCTTCCCAGGCCCCCCAGCCCGGATCCTGAGGGAAGTACCAAGCCCCTGGCGTCCCGTTCTCACCTCTGCCCTCCTGGCTGTGCAGGGAGGAGGTGGAGAAGCGCTTCGAAGGGCGGCTCACCAAGAACATGTCAGGGTCCCTCTACGAGATGGTCAGCCGGGTGATGAAGGCGCTGGTGAACCGCAAGATCACCGTGCCCGGAAACTTCCAGGGGTGAGTGGCTGCAGGGCCAGTCCCTCTCTTTCCCTGTCATTCCCGTGGCCGTGGGGAAGGGGCTCTGTGTGATTTGTACCAGAAAGCAGGGCTGCTGGTTCCTTTGGCTGCGAGGGTGGGCACGGGGAGAGCGTTTGTCCCTGCGGGTGCTGGACAGCCACGTTTGCCCCACAGACACTCCGGAGCCCAGTGCATCACCTGCTCCTACAAGGCCAGCTCGGGGCTGCTGTACCCGCTGGAGAGGGGCTTCATCTACGTGCACAAGCCGCCCGTGCACATCCGCTTCGACGAGATCTCCTTCGTCAACTTCGCCCGCGGCACCACCACCACCCGCTCCTTCGACTTCGAGATCGAGACCAAGCAGGGCACGCAGTACACCTTCAGCAGCATCGAGAGGTGGCTCTGGGCTCTGGGCTGTGGGGCCGGTCTGGCCGTGCTCACTGGGCCTCCCTGGCAGCCCAGGCCTGACCGTCGGCTCTCCCGCAGGGAGGAGTACGGGAAGCTCTTCGACTTTGTCAATGCCAAGAAGCTGAACATCAAGAACCGGGGGCTGAAGGAGGTACCTGCCGTGCGGGGCCTGCCTTCTCCCGAAATCCGGCTGCTTTTCCCTCCTTTTTTCACCTCTCTTTTCTCTCCTTGCCCTTGTAGAGGAAAAAGGTCCGTGCGATATCCCTTCCTCTTTCTCCTCCTCCTCCTGGTGCAGGTTTCCTGTGCATGGCTGTGGTGGTCCTTGACTAACCCAGTTAACCCCAGCGTGGTGTGCGAGGGCCCCCCTAACCCACATAACTGCTCTGCCCCTCTCTCTTGGGGCCCTGATGGTGGGGAAGGAGGGGACGTGTCTGTGTCCATCCTCCACCCTGTGCGTGCCCAGGGCCATGCCAGGGGCTGTGTTCCAGAGTGGGGGGTGTGCAGGGGGTGCTCAGGGAGCAGCTCTCATCCCGCCTCTCCACAGGGAATGAAGCAGAGCTACGATGAATACGCCGACTCTGATGAGGACCAGCACGACGCCTACTTGGAGAGGATGAAGGAGGAGGGCAAGATCCGGGAGGAGAACGCCAACGACAGCAGCGATGGATCCGGGGAGGAGACAGGTGAGGGCTGGGGCTGCAGGAGACTGTGGGGGGGGGCTGGTGTTGTGCTCTGGCTCCTTTTCCTCATGATTATCTGATGTGCTGATCCCTTGCTCTCTCCTCCAGACGAGTCCTTCAACCCTGGAGAAGAGGATGATGATGTGGCTGAAGAGTGAGTAGAGGCTGGGCAGGGCTCTGTCCAGAAGGGCCTGAGGAAGGTGCTGTTGGGGGATGCTCCCAGCACGACTGGGATCGCCTTGTGTAGCCCTGGATTTGGGAATGTTGGGCAGCAGAGGCAGTTCTGGGCTCGCTCTGTTGTAACACCATTTGAGGCAGTGTGAGAGAGTTCCAGAAGGAATCAGGGGCTCCTGGGGAGGCCTTGGCTGCTCTGGCCAGGAAAGAGAACGGCGGGAGGAGAGCTAAAGCCCTGGGCTGGGGCAAGGGTGGGTGGGGGCCATGGTCCCTGCAGCAGCGTGGTGGGAGCTGGGGGGTGCTGGGAGCTGAGCCCTGAACATCCAGGAAGCGGAGCACGGTGAGCCACGTTCGTGGAAGGCGATTCCCCCGGGGGCTGTTAACAGGAGCACACGGCAGCTCCGGCCCGGGAAGTCCCTGGGGGCAGGTCTGGCTGCCGGCCGGGCGCTGAGGCCGCTGCCCCCCCTGCACAGGTTCGACAGCAACGCCTCGGCCAGTTCCTCCAGCGGCGACGGCGACAGCGACCGCGACGACAAGAAACCCGCCAAGAAGGCCAAGATCGTCAAGGACCGCAAGCCCCGCAAGAAGCAGCAGGAGGTGAGGGGCTGCTGCACTGCTGGGGGGCTGCAGAGGCGAGCGGGGTGCCAGGGTGCTGGGTGTGGGGTGCATTGGGGCTCCGTGAGTGTTCTCCATCTCCCAGAGCAAGAAGGGGAAGGACCCCAACGCTCCCAAGCGCCCGATGTCGGCGTACATGCTCTGGCTGAACGCCAACCGGGAGAAGATCAAGTCGGACCACCCTGGCATCAGCATCACCGACCTGTTCAAGAAGGCCGGGGAGCTCTGGAAGGCCATGTCCAAGGAGAAGAAGGAGGTGAGGGATGGGAGGACTGGGCTGCTCCCCTGGGTGGCAGAGCTGGGCCTGGTCTGGGAGGAGAGGCTGGGTGTGGGGGACCCTTCCTTGCTCCTGGGAGGAGTTGGGAAGGGGAAGGGACATCCTCGGGCTGGGTGATCAGAGAGGGAGAGGGATGAAGTGGGAGCAGGGTGCGGTGTGGGTGGGTGCTGGGGATGGTGGAGGAGGAGGGAAGGCCCTGCTGCCCCTGCTCTCTGGTCACAGGAGTGGGATCGGAAGGCAGAAGATGCCAGGCGGGACTATGAGAAGGCCATGAAGGAGTACAGCGTGGGCAGCAAGGCCGACAGCCACAGGGGGTGAGTGTGCTGGGTAAGGGGCTGGCTTGGCCCCCCAAAATCAGGCTATTCACCAGTGCCTTGCCAGAGCTGGGGGGCTGCCAGCCAGGTGACACCGCTCCTCTCCCCACATGGCACAGGGAGAGGTCAAAGAAGAAGAAGAAGAAGCAGGAGAAGCAGATGAAGGGGAAAGGGGACAAGAAAGGTGCCACCTCCAAGTCCTCGTCCTCCAAGTCCCCGGCCAAGAGCATGAGCGACAGCTTCAAGAGCAAGGAGTTTGTGTCCAGTGACGAGAGCTCCTCTGCAGAGAGCAAGAAGGAGGTAGAGGGTCCTGGCTGGGGGGTCCCAGCCCTTTTTTTCGGGGGAACAACCTGGTGGTCTCCGCAGGGGCTGGGCCCCTCTCCTACCTTGTGTCTGTAGTACACAGTCACATCCCTCGGAGGGGGGGTGTCCTCAAGTCACCACCATCACCCTGTCCCCAGTGTGGGGGCACAGGAGAGGTGGAACAGTGGGGGCTGCTGCCCTTCCTTCGCTGTCCCCCGCTGATCTCCTTGTGCCCTGCCTGCAGGACTCAGAGGAGGAGGGGGCTGCCAGCCCACCCCCCAGCTCGGAGGACTCGGCGTCCGGCTCGGATTAGCCCCATCCCGGCTGGCTCCAGGCTGGTTCCCAGGTCGGCGAGAGGACTGGGCGGGCCGGCCCCGCGGCAGAGACCGGGGTCCTGGGCTCGGGATGGCTCCCACCGGGAGCAGGGCTGGGGGGCCCTCATCCCCCCCATCCCCCCGTGCCTGGCTGGGGGTGCGAGACCTCGTGGTGGCAGGAGGTGCCGGAGGCTCCTCAGTGCCCCCTCACCCCCCTGTTCCCCATCAATTTATTTTTTTTAAACACTCGGGTTTCTTTCCTTTTCTTTCCTTCACTCATTGATTTTTTTGGGGGTGTTTTTTTTTTTTTTTTTTGTATTTTGGGTCTGTTCACATGGCAACTTGGATTGAATAAAAAAACCCCGCCGAGGGCGTCTGTGTGGGTGCGGGGCCGGCTCCCCCCATCCCTCCTTCCTTCCTGCAGCCATCCGGGAGCTTGTTCCCCTCCTTGAACCGCTTCCAGGGCTGACCTCACTCTCTCCCCACCCTCCATTAGCGGCCCCCAGCCCCTGCTCCTAATTACGGCCCCTCGCTCGATCCTGATGCCATTTGGGGGTTTTTCCATCTCCCTCATGAGTGGGTTGATCCGATTAAGTCCCTTTTCCCCTCCGGTGTTTGATTGCGGGCAGTTCCCGGTCTGGAACCAGCCCCGGGGGGACCCCATGCCTGCCTGTTCCCCCGCTTTCCACCGCCTTTACTGGCACCACTGGGATGGTGCTGCGGGGAAGCAGGAGCCCCCCGGGTCCCTTGAAGCCGCGGGTTCACGGTGGGCACAACGGTGGAGTTGTGGGGCGCTGTTGGCATGGCAACCCACCTCAATGGTGGTTGCTGCCACTCTGGCGGCAGGCCCCACTGTTGGGAGGACCCCCGGAATGGGATAATTTACAGCGGAGGGGGGTCCATAGGGTGTCCGGGGGGTCCTGGCCGGCTGTCCCTGCGCCCTGAGGGTCACTTGGGGGTTCCTGGAGGTCTCTAAGGTGTCCCTCCCCGCCCCATTTTGGAGGACTCTCTGGCCGCCCCTCTCTATGGTCCGCCCGCCACGCGGCGCCGCTGTGCCCCGCCCCTCCCTGTCGTTGGGGGCGTGGCCGGTGGGGGCGCTCATGAATATGCATTAGCAGCGGCGGCGGAGGGTGAGAGGGGGTCGCTCCGCCGGGATGGGGCTGCGGGGAACCGGGATCCCCGCGGGCCCGCGGTGCCCGCCGGGGCACCCCGCGTCTTCGGACCGGGCGGCGCGCCACGGGCGCGGGCCCCCCGAATTGGGTGGGGGGCTCCGTTGTCATGGGGACGGCGCTAGGCCGCGGTCGTGGCCTACTCGGCGACTCGAGCGGAGGCTTCGTTGCCGTGGCAACGGGGATAGGCCGCGCTGGCGGAGGACCCCGGGGGGGGGCCGGACCCGCAACCCGGGGCCCCGCCGCCATCCCGGGCTGGGAAACGGGCCCGATCGTTTCCAGATGTGCGTTGTGGCGGCCGTTCCCCCGTGGAAAGCGATGGGAGGGGGATCTGGGGGTGGGGGTTGGACCCCGGCGGGGGCAGGAGCGAGCGAGGCGGGGAGGGGAGGGAGGGAAGGAGGGCAGGGCCGGGAGGAGGCACCGAGCGGGTTTTTCCTGTCCCCGCAGCCCCGGTGAGTCACGGGAGAGGCGGTGGCGGCAGCGTGAGACCCGTGGGGACGGTAATCCCCCCCTTCCCCGCCCGCCCTGCGCCCCCCACGTGTGTCCCGGCCCGCCCCGGACATGAGGCTGATGTGGGGAAGGTGAGTGGGGCAGCCGCGGCCCCGGCGATGGGGCTGGGGGGGCAATTCTCGGGGGGGCCGGGCGGTGCCTCCGAGGCTACCGGGGGCCCGGGAGGGGGGGCGGCGGGTGACCAGAGCGGGGGGCTGAAGTGGGGACCGGGGCAAACTGGGGGCCAGACCGGCCATCGGGGGTTGGCAGAGGTCGGTGGTGGTGGTGACACGTGTGCGTTGGGGCAGGTTAGCGCAGGGTCAGGCAGGTAAGGGAGCGGCCACACGGCGCCGAGAGTGTCGCAGGGGGTCCATGTGGTTACGGTGGTGGGGGGTCGGGATGGTGTCTGGGGCCGCTGCCCGTGCCAGGCTGGCTCAGGTGAGCCGAGGCCGGTGTACCAAGGGTGTTAACCGTGGCGTGACCGTGGTTTGGCACAGCTGGACGGGCCTTGGCACAGGGCTGGGAGGCGATCGGGCACCCCCCACTTGCCGCTGGGTCTCTCTGGGCACGGGGTGACCCCCAAAACATTCTTCTCTCCCTCCCTCCCTCTCTCTCTCCCCAGGGGCTGACCCCTCGCCGTGCTCCCCTCATCACCATGGCCTCCCAGCCGCAGCCCCTGCGCCCCGCCGTGCCCTGCGCCGCCCCCGCCAGCACTGGAGGGGCCGCTCTGGCTGGCAGCCCCGACAAAGGTCAGTGCCACAGGCGGGGGGTTTGCTGGGGCAGCCCCCCGAGGGCTGTTCTCAGCCTGGGGGGGGCCGCGCTGCGCCCCCTGACCCCGTCCCCGGCTCTCCGCAGGCACCACGCGCCCCAAGCCGCCGGTGCGGCCCAAGCCCCGCGTGCTGCCCAAGCCGGCCGTGCCCGCCAAGCCCCCGGTGCCGCCCCCTGTGCCGGGCCCGCGGCACCCCCGGCCCGAGCTGCCCTCGGCCGAGAAGATGAACCGCCTGGCTGGGCCGCAGCCCTACAGCGGGGGTGGCACGGGGGGGCCCCTCCGCCGCCCCTCCTTCACTGTCAGGTCACCCGAGACCCCCAACGGGAAGGGGCTCCCGTCCCCCCCTGTGGCAGCCGCCGAGGAGGAGGTGCCCCCCGCCCCGCCGACCCCCTTGCGCAAGGGCCCCGCGCCCTTCAAGGTGACGCCGGTGCCGGTGGCCGCCAGGCCGGAGCGCTTCCCAGGCACCATTGTGGAGGAGATCCTGGCCAAGATGGACAGCAGGGAGGGTCCGGGCAGCCCAGACAGGGCCTGGCTCTCGCCCTTCTGTCCCGACCCCTCCTCCCGCTTCGGCTCCAAGACCTTCGCCGCCTTCCGGAGGCGTCCCAGCGGGGAGGCGGATGGAGACCCCCCTGGTGAAGCCCCCCACACACCCCGACCTGCGGCGGGCGAGCTGGGAACGGGGGATGACGGACACTCCGTGGCTGAGACGAGGTGAGGGGCCAGAGACCCACCCCAGGGGGAGAGTGGCAGTGGGAACACGGGACACTGCTCCGAGCCGTCCTGGGGCGGGCATGTAACGGAGCTGAGGTCTGGTCGCCGGCACGGGGCCTGGGTTCCTCCCGAGCCGCAGTGCCTCGAGCTGCCTCCGTGGGAAGGCCGGGGCAGCCAGTGCCAGCTGCAGGACGGGCTGTCCTGGGCCAGGAGCCGCCTGCAGCCCCGTGGGTGGGCTCTGAGCCAGCCGTTGGGCAGGGGGTCGCTCTCCGGGGAAACACTCCTGTTTTCCCAGCCTCACTATTTTTTCCCTGCTGGGCCGTGCCAAGGCACAGGGAGAGGGCAGATCAGCGGGACTCCCAGCTCCGGGACGTTCTGGGCCAGAGCCAGGGCTTGGCCATGCTCCCGAGAACTTGGGCACCTCAGGGAGAGCTGGGCGGGGGCTGCTCTGAACCAGAGTGTGAGAAACTCGCTCCCAAAGGACCAAAAACTTTCCAGAAAAGGGGCTGGGAGCGCTTCACCTCCCTCCCCTGGCAGCCCAAGCCAGGGGCCCGGCGTGCAGCCATGGCAGGGCCCGACCCTGGCCCCCTGCGGCCGTGGAGGCTGGTTTGGAGCAGGGGTGCCTCAGTGGGTGTGGGGAGAGGAGCCCTGAGGCACCCAGTGGGGTTTACCCTCTTTCCCCATTTCTCTCTACAGCGGCTCCCCCCCAGCTGGGCCGCGCTGTGCTGGGGACCCCCGTGGACACCGGAGGCCACCGTCCCCTCCTGATGTGAGTGCTGGCCTCGCCCTCCGGCGTCGCGGCGGCTCCACTCCTGGGCTCTCTCCTTCGGGGCTCTCCTGTCTCCTCCGGGGCTCCCTCTCTGCGGGGTGCGTGTCTCTCCTTTCTCCTCGGGGCGCTGGCCGCCCCTTCTGGGGGGTCCAGTGCCCCCTGCACTGGGCCCCCAGCGCGGGGCCCAGGGGCGTGGGGGTGGCGTGTGCCAGCACCGGTGCCAGCCGTGGGCAGGGAGCAGCTGTGAGTCACCAGCCGGGGTTTGGTGACCCGGCAGGTATGTGGCAGGGCAGGCCCCTTGGGCTCCCCGCCAGTCCCTCTCCCCTCACTGCACTCGCTCGGGGAGGTGACCGGGACACCGAGCCTCGGTGACACCGCGGGTGACAGCCTGGGCAGTGGCCCCAGGTCACCCCGGCAAAAGGGCAAACCCCGACGGTGCTGGACAAGGGGATGCCAGCCCCAGGCAAGGCAGGCGGCTGGGCTGGGGGGTCCTGACTTCCTTCTGCTTCGTTTCTTCCTCTCCATCTGTCTGGGTGCTCCGGGGGCAGCGGAGGGCTGAGCTGGGAGCGGGGCTGGGGCACCAGGAGCCGCCCGGGCTGAGTCACGCAGGAGCAGCCTGGTGCTGGCACACAGCGTGGGCACCTCCTGCCCCAGGTGCAGGGAGGGGAGCGGGGCTGGAGGGAGAGACCCTCTGGAGGTTTGGGGTGGATGATGCTTGGGGGTGTCTCTTGAGTGACAAGACCCCCACTGGCTCTTTCCACAGCTCTCCTCTCTCCAACTGGGGGCCCTCGGACCCCCGGGCTCCCCACGGCCCCCCACTTCCCCGACCCCAGCCCCGGGAGCTCCCTTCCAGCCTCCCGAGCCCTCTGCACCGGCCCCCGGCTCTCCTGATGCCCCCGCTGAGCTCCTGGCCCTCGACTCCCCCACACTGCCCCCCGGCTCCCCCGAATCCCCCACTCAGCCTCCAGCCGAGGCCCCTGCCCCCTCCAGCCAGGCCCCAGGTGCTCCCTCGGCCACCAAACCCCATCTCGGCACCTCCCGCTCCCCTGGCTCCCCCCACACTCCCGGGGAGGGTTCCCCTGACACTGCCAGCCCGCCTGGCACTCCCGAACTGCCCCCCCGAGTCACCTGCCCCCCTGGCTCTCCTGAGGCTGCTGCCGAGTACCTGGGCCGCCCCAGCCCACCCCTTGCCAAAGCCTCTCGTCCCCCAGGCTCCCCAGAGGGACCTGATGACTCCACAGTGTCCCCACAGTCCTGTGAGGGTCCCGATTTCAGCTCCTCTCCCCGGGACGTGGGACTGCGGCGCTCCTCAGAGGGGGTGCTGCAGTCCCCGCCCACAGGGCAGGGCCTGGGGGAGCTGGGGGGTTCACTGAGTGCCCTGCCCCGGCCTGGAGACCCCCTGTCTGAGCCCTCCCTGGGCAGTGAGTCTGGCTGGAGCCTTTCCCAGTCCTTTGAGTGGACGTTCCCATCGCGGGGGACACGCTTGTCGGCCTTTCCCCCCCGCTCCCCAATCCGGGAGACGCCTGACTCGGGGCTCTCTGAAGAGGGAGAGTCGGATGGGGAGGCTGCAGCCCACAGCCCCCCGGAGGACAGCGGCTCTGAAGGGCCTGACAGCCACAGGGCAGAGGGGGCTCCATGCCCAGGGGGTCCTGTAGCCCAGCGAGAAGCTGAGGGCTTGACAGAGGAGGAGGAGGAAGGGGAAGTAGAGCGAGGCAGCCCTGGGTCCCAGTCCCCACTTCATGTGACAGAGCCTGGCTGGCACCCAGCTGAGCCTGAGACCCCCACCCAGCCCAGCATCACCACAGCTGCACCCCTGGATCCAGCCCCCCCAGATCCAGCCCCTCTGGCTGACTTGGCCTGGGCAGGTGACAGCCCCAAAGACCTGCAGGGCCCTGGGGGGCCAGGCCAGGCCGAAGGACCCCCACAGGGCCCTGACCCCCACGCCGACCCGGGCTGGCTGACAGAGCTGCTGGCATCACCTGGGGCCCACACCACAGGGCACGGCTCAGCAGAGGTGAGGGGGTGCGGGGGGCTCTGTGGGGTTAGTATGGGGTGGGCTCCTCCATCACTGGGTGGTGGGATGGGAGGGGACAGCACAGGATGGGGTGAGTGTGTGCATGGAGGCCAAACAGGAGTGTGTGGTGAGGGGCAGGTGGCAGGGTCTGGCTTCCCTTCGGGGTGGGCCCTGCTGTGCCGTGTGCCCTGGGCACCTCAGGGCGTTTCTTCCCTTCTCCCCAACTCTGCTGCTGCAGGAGCCGGGGCTGTGCCCCCCTCTAACTCTTCTCACTCCTCTCCCCCTTCCCCCCCAGGGCCTGCTGGGCTGGTCACGGAAGGACCTGTGCAGTGAGTTCGGCATTGGCCGCCCTCACCGGGCCGGTACCTTTGGCTGGAGCTGCCCAGCTGTGTCCAGGGAGAGAGACTGGCCTGCTGAGACCGAGCAGGACCAGGAATTCAGGGCCAAATCCAGCTGGGACAGCAGCCGCAGCGACAGGGCTGGGGCCAGGCCAGATGGGCACTTCAGCGCTGCCCGGGAGGGCTGGAGCAGTGACTACAGAGGGACGGAGCTGATGGGGGACACCAAACTGGGTGGCAGTGACTGGTCCCAGTCCCTCGATGCTGGGGAGAGCTGCCTGCGGGATCCAGACTTTGGCAGCAGCACAGCCAAGTGGGGCCCGGGCTATGGCCTGGGCCGTGCCAGCAGCACGGAGGAGCTCGACTCGGGGCAGCCCACCTGGGCGGGCAGGTATGGCACCGGCGACACGGAGATGAAGGACAGGGAGCTCACCCAGGACTGGGCCAGTAAATACAGCAGCCGGGATGCCAGGAGCAAGGATGAGGATTTTACGCTGGGCTGGGCTGGCCGATCCAGCACTGGGGACACTGGGAGCCCGGACAAGGAACTCAGCCCCAGCCGGCCGTCCTGGAACAGCAGGTACAGCACCCGGGACATGGAGAGCCAGGACCGGGAGTTCAGTCCCAGCCGGCCAGCCTGGGCTGGGGAATACAAGGACACACAAAGCCAGGACAGGGAGTTCAGCCCCAGCCGGCTGGCTGAAGGCAGCGAGTGCAGCACTGGCAACGTGGAGACCCAGGACCGGGAATTCAGCCCCAGCGGAGCGGCCTGGGATAACAGGTACAGCACTCAGGACATGGAGAGCCAGGACCGGGAGTTCAGCCCCAGCCGGCCGGCCTGGACTGGTGAAATCAGGGACATGGAAAGCCAGGACAGGGAGTTCAGCCCCAAGAGGCCAGCCTGGGCTGCTGAATACAGGGAGATGGAAAGCCAGGATCAGGAGTTCAACCCCAGCAGGCTGACCTGGGATGACAGATCCAGCAGCAGGGACACAGAGAGCCAGGACCGGGAGTTCAGCCCCAACAGGCTGGCTGAAGCCAGCGAGTGCACCACCAGGAACCTGGAGACCCAGGGTGGGAAGTTCAGCCCCACTGGAGCAACCTGGGGTGACAGGTCCAGCACCAGCAACATGGAGACCCAGGACAGTGGATTCACTCCCAGCAGAGCAGCCTGGGATGACGGGCACAGAGCTGGGGACATGGAGACCCGGCACGGGGAGTTGTTCAGCCCCAGCGGAACGGCCTGGGGCGACAGGTCCAGCACCAGGGATGTGGAGGCCCAGGACAGGGAGTTCAGCCCCAGTGGAGCAGCCCGGGATGGGGAGCACAGCTCTGTGCTCCCCATGGAGGAAGAGCAGGAGCTGATCCCGGGCCGGCTGAGCTGGTCCGGTGAGGGCAGCATCAGCCAGGCCAGGCCTGTTGGGGTCAGTGAGGAAGATGTGCCTGGCTCCCTCTGCCCTGATTCCCTGGCCCAGGAGCCCACCTGGGGCAGTGCCCACCAGCAGGAGCGTGGCAGCTCCAGCAGCAGGGACTGGGCTGAGGAGCTTGGAGGAGGCGACTGCCACAACCAGTTTGGTGCCATTGGGACAGAGCGGGTGCCAGACCCCTGCAGCAGCGGAGCCTCGGATGGCGCCATGTCCAGGGGCCTGCAGTCCCTGGCAGGCTGGCACAGGGATATCTCTCTGGACACGGAGGATGCCCGCTGGAGCCAGGACCTGGAGCACTGGAGTGTGGAGCTGCAGGACGCCGAGGCCAAGCGCCAGGAGTGGGCAAGTGCCTTCGGTGCCCGCTGTGCCGCCCGCAGCCGGGACCTTGGCACTGGGGAACGGAGCCTGGGAGGGGACACCGGCACAGAGGACAGGTAAGGAGGGCACCGGTGGTGGCAGGGAGGGAGCAGCTTCCCCTGAGGTGGACAGAAGGGTTTTGGGACACGAGCAGGGCTTGTGTTATCTGGGGCTGGAGCAACTCTGCGGTCTTGTCTCCCAAGCAGGAGCCTCCGTCTTTCAGCCCCCAGCCCACCGATGGGTGATGCCCCAGCCGACCCCCCAGCTCTGCAGACCCCCCAGGGTGAGCTGCTCAGCCCCGCTGAGGAGGAGAGGGACCTCCCCGAGCACGCCGCTGCCCTGCAGAGCCCCGGGGCCCCCTGTCTGCTGCTGGAGGCTGCCAGCAGGATCCCAGTGGACACAGGGATTGAGGAACCCACCTCGGACCACCCCGATGGGGACAGCCCCCCGGGCTGGGGGGAGCAGCGGCTCTCCCTGGGCACCCCCCAGCCCGAGGGGCCCGTGGAGCAGGGGCAGGAGTTCCCCTTCCTGGAGGTGAGTGGGGAGGGGGCAGTTCCCAGTCCGGCGGAGGGTCCCGGGGCTGCCCCTGCCGTCTCTGACATGTCCCATGGGCTCGGCAGGACACGGAGCTCCTGGACAGCAGCGTGTTCCGCAGCAAGGCCAGCCTGGGCCGCAAGCGCCGGCACCGGGCCCCGGCCCTGCGTCCCACCGCCCCCGAGGGGGACAGCTGGATCTTCCGGGACTCCACGGGTGAGCCCAGCGGGGACGGGGAGGGGAGCGGGGCGTCTGTCCTGCCACGGGTGTCACTGACGCTGTCCCTGTGTCCCCGCAGAGCCCCGGCCAGCCCCACCAGCGTCCTCCGACGAGGAGGCAGCGGAGGAGCCCCGGAGCCGGCGGGTGCGCGGCTCCCCTTTGGGCAGGGGGGTCAAGGTGCCCCTCTTCCCCGGCCTCAGTGCCTCAGCCATCAAGGTGGGACCCCCGGACCCCTGGAGGGGGGGGTAAACCAGGGGTGGGGAAGCTGAGTCAGGGTGGGGGCTGCCTGAAGGCAGGGAGGAGGCAGTGGGGGGATTGAGGGGGCAGAGCACTGTGTGCCCCCCTGACCTCACTGTCTGCCCCCAGGCCAAGCTGAGAGGCCGCAACCGCTCGGCCGAGGAGGGGACATCATCAGGGGACAGCAAGGGGACCTCTTCCAAGGACCCCCACGTGCAGCGCTCCAAGTCCTGCAAGATCCCTGGTGTGAGTGGGAAACCCCCGGCGCTGCCCCCCAAGCCGGAGAAATCGTCAGGGTGAGTGTGGGGCCAGGACCCTCATGGGGGCAAAAGGGGTGCTGGGGGGGTTCAGTCTGGGTGCCCAGGCTGATCTTGGGGGGCTCGTGCTGATGCTGTGCACACACACCCAGATCTGAGGCCTCCCCCCCACACTGGCTGCAGGCACTGAAACTGAAGAGAAAGAAGCCTTGAGCGGGTGAGTGTGGGAGCTGGGGGGATGCTGGGCATGGATTCCCGTGGCTGGGGCCTCCCCATGTCCCCTGTGTGCGGGGCTGTGGGTCCTGCGTGGCTGGAGGGGGGTGTGAGGGCAGGGCTGGCTGTGGCACCGTGGGAGATGTTCCTGTGTCTCTGGAGTCTTGCATTGCTGGGGTCAGGTCCCTCCTGCCTGCTCCAGCCAGGACCCCCGGCCTGGGTCACCACTGGGAGGTGTGCTGTCACCCCTGGGGGTCCCTGCAGACCCTCAGCCCGTCCCCACTGTGTCTCTTCCAGGCTCTCTCCCCGATGCCGATGGCCGCTGTCCCGGGACCAGGGCTGTCCCCTCCCGTGGGGACACACACACACACACACACACACACCTATGCACTTTGTACGAGCTCGCAGGGTCCCCGTCTCCCCCCAGCACCTCCTCCCCATCCCCATCCCCACATTGTACCCCATCCCTGGGGCTGGGGGTGGGCACGACCCCCCCCCTCCCCTCACCCCTGCTCGTGTATCGCCCTGTGTCCAGGGCGGCGGGTCCGGCTCGTGGTGCTGCTGCCACAGACAATAAAACCTCGCTGGTCAGTCCGGGGGGCCTGGCTCTTCTCTGGGGGTCACAGGGGTCCCTGTGGGATGGGGGTCACCGTGCAGGGGCTGCCAGCAGGAGGAGCTCTGTGCCCACAGTGCACCCTGGGGCTGGCTGTTCCCAGCACAGCCCATGGAAGGGGGAGCAGAGGCACAGGAGCCGTGCCCGAGGGGTGTTGCTTCCCCGGTCGGATGTAACTCCTGCGGCTTTGGAGGAAGCTGCCGGAGCCCTCCTTGTGCGGGGCTGAGCACTGCCCTTCCTGCCTGTGGGGCCCTTGCTCCACATCCCACCCCATGGGGGCTCCCACCCCAGTCCCCCTCAGAGCCAGCGGGGGTGCCGTGACCCTGGCTCGTTCCCAATGGAGCCGCTGGTGCCGGAGCCTGGGGAATGAGGGTCCCAGAGCACCTCAGTGGTGCCCAGGGCAGAAGGAGAGCAACTCCTTGCAGCGTCCCCCCCGCAGCCCCTTCCCCTCCCCCTGCTGCAGATAACGGGTTTGTTATCAGCCCCACGGGCTCGTTATCAGCACAGCTCTGGCCACTACTGATCCACTGCTGCTGGCCACCACAAACCCAGCCAGGGGGACTCCTTCCCCAGTGCTGGGACCACTGGGATGGCACTGAGGGCAATCAGGTCAGTGAGGGAGCAGCCTGGACCCTCAGTCCTCCAGCTTTTGAAAAGGGATACCTGAGTGGGGGCTGGAAATGGAGGCGTGTTCCAGTGGGACAGAGGTAGCCGGGGTTGTTATTAATAGTAATTAATAACACGGCTCAGTAACGGTGCTGCTCATTAATGGGGTTCTGGCCACGGCAGGAGCAGCCTGGGCAGCCTCCCTGTGATCCCAGGGGCGGCTCCTCTGCGGCGCTGGGGTTTCCCAGTTAATGCCACTAATTAGCGTTAATTAGCCTGCACTGGGGAGTTGGGGGGTTCCATCCCTTCTTTAATCAAAGTTGGCATTTTAACCAGAACCGGACACCCTCAGGGTTCTGCTGCCAGTTGTAGCAGCTTTTGGGGTTAATTCCTCACTGCCCCCAATCTGGCTGTCCCAGCACTGGGTATGGGATCGTCCCTTATCTCCAGCCTGATTAAGCCCTGGCTTGTTCTCCCTGCTGACGCTGTGGGCCCTCTCTGTGTCTGGTTCAGTGGCTGCCGTGTCCCTGCCTCCAGGGCCCCCCAGCCTGCACTCCAATTTAGCAGGCCCTTTACCCCCTGAGACCACTCTGTCTCAGTTTGGACACTCCTGTGAGCTCCCTCCTTTCAGCCACTGAATTCCCCCCCAAGCCCCTCCTTTACACCCCTTTGCTGGGAGAAGGGCCCCACTGTGCCTGCGAGGGGTTGGGGGTCTCTGTGTCCCCCCACCAGCCTCCATCCCTGCACTCCAGTGTTAAACCTGCCCCTTCCACAGCCTGTCCCGTGTTTAATCTGCCCTCAGCCCAGCTCAGACCCCCCTCAGCCCAGGCTCCAGCCCAGACCCCACAGCGTGTCCCCGGGGCACTCGGGGCTCTTCAGACTTCACTCTGCAAAGTCCCACTTGGCTTCTCCGGTACTTTTCCCCAGAGCTGGAATTGTGAGAGTTCAGTCCCAGTGGGACACCCACAGCACACGGCCCTGCCACCAGAGGGCCCCCCCTCCTGACCCCGTCCCCCCAGTATTTATTTGTGGGTCGGGGGGATGTCTGTTCTCCCTTGGCTAACCCGAAGGCGCTGCTGCATCCGGCTCCGTGACTGACCTGCGGAGCTGGGATGCACTGGGAGCTCCAGTGGCAGCCATTGCCCTAAAATGGGCTTTTTTGCAGCATGGGTGGTCCCAGAGCCTTCCCCCCCACACACAGATTTTTGATAAATGCCTAAAAAAGTCTCCCTGGCATGTTTTGCTCAAAATGAGGCTCCAGCGCTGGGGGACCCCCCCCGGAGCCACCACTGTGTGCCCAGTGCAGCAAACCTGGGAGCAAAACGGGGAATCCTGAGTGCCAAATGCAAAATGCCAAATGCATCCCCCCACCTCCAGTGCGACTCCACCCAGTGTGAAACCCCCCCCCCCTGTGACCCCCCACCACCAGGTGCCCGATGTGACACCGCCCGTGCGAAATGCAACCCCGGCGTGTGACACCTCAGCGCTGAATGCGGCGCCCTGAGCTGAAACCCCAAATGCTGGCAGAACCCTGAGGTCCCCCCTGCCCTGAGCACCCCCCAACGCTGCTGCCCTGATCCCAGCACCAAACCCCATCGTGGTGGGCGGCCAGACCCCCCCGGGTGTGGCAGGGGACGGGGTTATCTCGGGGGTCGGTGCATTGACACGCGGGTGAGAGCTCGGTAAAACCCCCCCCCGGGAAGGAGCCAGATGGAGGTGGGGGGAGCTGTGAAGTTTCCCACGGGGGCTCCCCCCCAGCCATCCGTCGCTCCTACCCTGTCCCGTCAGTCCCATCCAGGAGGAGGGCGGGGAGGAGGAGGAAGGGGAGGTAACTCGGTGGGATTTGCAGGGTGGCTCAGGGGCTGGAGGAGCGGGTGAGCCCGGGATGAGCTGAGCTGAGTCGAGCCCAGCCCAGCCCAGCGCCGGGATGGAGGAGGCAGCGGACGCCTACGCCTACGGTGACAACGAGACGTACTGCGAGTACACGGAGTGGGGCCCCTCGCTGGCCCTGCTGCCCACCATCTACCTGCTGGTCTTCCTGCTGGGCACCGCTGGCAACGGGCTGGTCCTCTGGACCATCTTCAAGGGCGGCCGCGACCGCCGGCGCTCCGCCGACACCTTCATCGCCAACCTGGCGGCCGCCGACCTCACCTTCGTGGTCACCCTGCCCCTCTGGGCCGCCTACACCTGGCTGGGCTACCACTGGCCCTTCGGCACGGCCGCCTGCAAGGTCAGCAGTTACCTGGTCTTTGTCAACATGTACGCCAGCGTCTTCTGCCTGACGGGGCTGAGCTTCGACCGCTACCTGGCCATCGTCCGGCCCCTGGCCACCGCCAAGCTGCGCTTGCGGGTCAGCGGGCTGGTGGCCACCGTGGCCCTGTGGTCTCTGGCGGCCCTGCTGGCCCTGCCGGCCCTGGTGCTGCGGCGGGCGGCCGCCCTCGGTGAGGACTCCAGGATCACCTGCTACATGGACTACACGGACCTGGAGGCCCTGGGGTCGGAGGGCGCCTGGGAGGTGGGGCTGGGGCTCTCCTCCACCGCCGTGGGGTTCGTGGCCCCCTTCGCCGTCATGCTCACCTGCTACTTCTTCATCGCCCGCACCGTGGCCACTCACTTCCGCCGGGAGCGGGCCGAGGGGCTCCGCAAGCGCAAGCGCCTCCTCACCATCATCACGGTGCTGGTGGCCACCTTCGGGGGCTGCTGGCTGCCCTTCCACCTGGTCAAGACCCTCTACGTGCTGATGGACCTGCAGGTGCTGCCCTGGTCCTGCGCCCTCCACACCTTCCTCAACAACCTCCATCCCTACTGCACCGGCATCGCCTACATCAACAGCTGCCTCAACCCCTTCCTCTACGCCTTCTTCGACCCCCGTTTTCGCCACGCCTGCGCCGCCCTCCTGTGCTGCCGGGCCCCCGGCCCCGGCCCCGAGCGCTCCGCCAGCTACTCCTCCGGGCACAGCCACCCCCCCGGGGGCAAGGGGGGCCCCGGCCCGGGGGGGCAAGGTGGACCCTGCCACCCAGGAGACGCTCTTCCGCGCCTGAGCCCCCCCGGCCACCCCCGGCGCCCCCCGAGCTGGTCTCCTCGGGGGGGACCCCCCCTCACCTCTGCCTTGCCCCAGAGCCTGGCTTGCTTTGGGGACATCCCCCCCCCGCTGGAAAGCCCTGCTCACGGGAAGGGGAAACTGGGGCAGGGGCTGGGCAGAGCCGGGGAGGAGCCCCTGGGGGGCTCGGGCGGGGGCGGCTCCCCCAGCACCCTTTTGTGTTTTGTGTCAAATAAATGAATTTTTGGTTAAAAAAGGAGCAGCGTGCGTGCAGTTCCCTCGGGGGGGCTGGGAGGGGGGCGTCATGGAGGGGTGGGGGGTGCAGCTGGGCTTCGGCGTGTCCGTGAGTGAGGAGGGGTGGTGGGGGGTGCACTATGGGGGGTCCCTGCACCTTGTGGCTGCCCATGGCCCCTGCTGGGTACCCCCGGATGCTGGTGGGGATTCCAGCCTGGGACAGACTCTCCCTGGTCTCTTCCCCAGCAACACTTTGGGAAATGGTAGGAAAACCCCCAAACCTTCAGAGCATCACAGCACTGGGATAGGGGTGTTTGGCCCTGTGGGGTGGGTGCCTGCCTGCCCCAGCCCCCCAGCTCTGATTGCATCAGGCCGCTGCTCTGTCCCACCAAATCCCATTTTTGGGCTTTCATCCTTATCTGAGGCCAGGACAAGCCCTGGGTGACTCACCCGGGGGTGGAAACGGGACCTGGTGCTGTGAAACACCCAAACCTGAGGGATGGGGGCATGGGACCCCCTGGGTGTGGGCAGGGACACGGGACCCCTGGGTGTGGGGGGGGACATTGGACCCCCTGGGCACTGGTGGGGGATTTGGGCGCTGGGCAGGACCCCGGCTCACCCCAACCAGGATTTTGATGAGCCACCAAATGGCTCCTGTCCCACTTCCCCCCGCAGGCCCTGTCGCTTCCTGAGGCTCTGCTTGAAATAAATCTTCCCCCTATTTGCTATTTACATCCTTCATTTATTGGTGATGAACTATCCTGTCTCCTCAGCCTTTGTTCTCGCTTGGCAAGGATGCAGGATCATTACTGGGTTCCTTGGGAGGCTTCCCGTCGGGGAGGGGCTGCCTCTGCCTTCCTGCCAGCCCTCTCCGTGTTTGGGGGACATCAGCTGGAGTCCCCCCACGCAGGGATGGTCCTTTGTCCAAAGAGAGGGAATGGGGGGGGGGGCAGGCTGAGGGACTGGGGGCTGCACAAACCCCCCACCTGGAGGGGTGGGAGCCTACTCGGGGGTTTTGGGAGATTTTCCAGTGGATCTAATTTGGTCTAAGGGCCAGGGGGGCCTGAGAGGTGGGAATGCTGCATCCAGGGCCACATCCCGAAGTGTGTTTACATTCCAGATGCTGCCCAGCCTGCCTCACCCTGGAGAGACCCCTTGATAACAGTGATCTGTCAGTCCAGATGTCCATCCATCAGTCCAACAGCCCCCTCCTTCCCCCATCCATCCCTCCATCCATCCATCCATCCATGGTTTAGCGGTTTAGGGGTTGCAGTGGCAGTGCTGGCTTGAGGGTTGGACTTGATGATCTTAAAGGTCTCTCCCGACCTTGATGATTCCACCATTCTGCCCTTCCCTCCCTCCATAATTCCCTCCATTCCTCCCCTCTTTTTCTCCACCCTCCCACCCCACCATCCTCCCTTCCCTCCCTCTATCCCTCTCCTCATCCCTCTCCCCATCTCTCCCTCCACCTCCCCCAAATATCCCAACACTGTGGGGGGGTCGGGGTTGCTGTTTCCCCCCCTCTGGTGCAGCCGCCGGGCACGGAAACGGCCGCAGGCGCCCGGCCAGCGGAGACGGAGCTGCTGACTTTCTATCCGCCTCTTGGAGATTTCCCTTTCCCTTCCAGGAAGGAAGTGTTTGGCTGAGGAATCCCTGGGGACAAATGCAGGGACACTCCAGAAAAATAACAAGGCCGGAGCCGGGGGTGAGGGACAGTGGGGCCGGACCACCCGTCGGAAGGAGATAAGGAAGGTGTTGCCTTCCTGCCAGTTCCTAGGGAAGATGAGGAGGGAAGATAGAGGGGGGACAGCGAGGACAGGGGGGATGGGGAGCATCCTTGGGAAGGCTAGGGAGCGGGGAGGGGGTGCTTCTGGACGAGTCTGGGTACCCTCTATCCCTAAATCACAATGCTCTGGGAACCCTGGGGTGGTTAGGGAATGCAGGGTGTGCTCCCGGGAGTGTCTGGGGACCCTCAACCCCCCAAAAATGATGCTTTGGGAACCTCTGGAAAGGCTGGAGGGAGAGGTGATCCCCAAGGGAATGTGAGGACCCTCAACCCCCAAATTCCTTGGGAATGCTGCAGGTCCCAACTCAGTCAGGGGCCACAGCCAGGGGTTCTCAGAGGTGGGGCTGGGAAAAAGGAGGTTGTTCCACACAGAACCCCTTGGCTGGAGCTAAAAATGGGCTCTGCCGGGGAAAAGGGGGGACGGGGATCGGGACAGGGACAGCGATGGGGACAGGGGCGGGGACGGGATGAGGGGCAGCTCCCCCTGCCCCAGGGAGCCCCCTCGGCCCCCCCTTCCCCGCTTTCCTAAGCTGCCAAACGGGATGTTCACCACCCCACCCCACCCCCCTCCCCATCCCGCCCGGGGGTGCCGAAATAATCTGGTGGTGCTAAGGATGTCCCCGGGCGTCCTCTTTGAAGTGACCTCCGTGTTTACAGCCCGGCTCGGGCTCCTTCACACCTTCCGCCCCAAAGCAAACGGAGCGGGGGGAGGTGGTGGTGGTGGTGGGGGGGCCTCCAGCTCCCGTTTGTGCCGGGAAAACAGGGATTTGCCTGAGCCGCGGCGGAGCTTCGGCACACTCGGGGCTCAGGGGCTTTGGTCACTGTGGGGTGGGAGCGGTGGCTGCCGGGGGTGGCATTTTGGGGGGCGGGGGGGGCGAGCCCTGGGTCACCGACCCCCCCGTGGGTGACCGGTTCCACCCGTGTGAGGGGACCCCCGAAGTTCCGGGGGGGGGGTCCCTGTGTGACACGGGGACGGAGGGGGAGGATGCAGGGAGGAAAAGTGGTGGTGGGGGGTGAATTTGGATGTGAGTGGGAGGTTTGGGAAGGGAGGTGGGGATGGAGTGGATGGATAGATGGATGGATGGATGGATGGATGCATGGATGGATGGATGGATGGATGCATGGATGGATGGATGGATGCATGGATGGATGGATGTGTTGGGAGGGAAGGAGGGAAGGACGGGTGCATGGGTAGAGGGATGGATGGAGGGATGAACACATGGGAGGACATGTAGGGAAGTGCCAGGGTTCAGGGGTGCCCCGGGCCCCCCCAGCCGTCACCGGGGGTGCTCCAGCGCCCGGCAGAGCCCGGGGGTGGGCACCGGGGGCCACCGTCCGGCCGCTGCCCCCACCCCTGCCCTCCCCCGGGGCCGTCGGCGCGGCCGGACACGGCACAGCTGCTGCCCGACCTCCGGGCTCCGGCCAGGCGGGACCGGCCCCGCAACCCCCCGCCCGCGGGGAGGGGGTCTCGGGCAAGGGGGGGGG